CTATTTATAGCAAAGGTTCAGACTTTCCCACATGTTCTGGTTTCACCTGGTCCGACCTTTTCCTCTGCTCCTGCGTAGACAACAATGAATGTGCCAACGACCCCAACCTGTGCGGCACCAACGGCGTCTGCCAGAACACTCCAGGGAGCTTCAACTGTGACTGCCAGAGAGGGTTCTCCTTAGATCCTAACGGACAAAGCTGTGAAGGTCTGGAACCAGCTCATCACATCCTGGGTCTTTGACCGTGGTTCACAGTCCTTAGCATTTGTGCTGCATTAGCTAGAAGACAACCTGTTTGCTGGTTCCATTCCTGGTCTGTCTGTAGGGAGTTTGCATGTTTGGGATGAGGGTCATCGTTCACTCTAAACTGACCCTACAAGTAGGTGTGAATGTGAGTGTGAATGGTTGTGTGTCTGTAAATGTCAGCCTTTGATGGACTGGAGAACTGTGCAGCCGTGGAGCTAATCCCAACTGTCATCAGCAGAGGGCGGGGTTTCACCCTGAACTGTCCTCCAGTCCATCACAGACAATCAATCACAGAGGTGGAACCAGTGACCTGGTGATATTCTGTCTGTAATACAAAGGTCTTTTACTCAACAGGACATTAACAAAAGTTAATTAAAATATCAGTGCAGTTTTCCCACTGTAGACAAATAAGTTATGCTCACTGTTCAGAGGATCACAGCAGGTATTTCTAACCTGTCTGTCTCCACCAGATATGGACGAGTGTGACGGGAACCACAGGTGTCAGCACGGCTGTCAGAACCTGGTGGGTGGGTACCGATGCAGCTGTCCACAGGGCTACCTGCAGCACTACCAGTGGAACCAGTGTGTGGGTGAGTCAGAAACACCGCTGCACCGCTCTCCCTCAGCAAACAGAGAGATTCTTTCCCCCGGGGGAGAACTCGGTGACTCTGTTGCCAAAGTATGTATAAATCCGCCTCAGTGTTCTGGGCTAAAGCCCGACTTGGAAAACTTCTTTAAACAACTTCTCCGCCCGTTTACGTTTCTGCAGTCGGCCTTAAAATACAGACCTGTTGGAAATGTTTTCTGTTTTTCTCTGGAATTGTTGAGAAAGAGAGAGAGAGAGAGAAATGTCTGAGTCCATTTGAAATGATTGTACAGTAATGCACTGGATTAACCTGCGGTTCTATACCACTTTACCAGTTTACCAGTAGTAATAAGTGCCCTAAACTGGAGGGAGCTCTGGTTGAGGTGATATTTTAGGATGGAGGTGCTTTTTAATTTTAATTTGTTGTAATGCATGAAACAGAAGGATTGACATTAGTTTTTACCAGATCTGGTACCAGTGATTGGTGGGCCTTATCTGGCCCACGGACCATAGTTTGCCCAGGTCTGAATTAGAGCAATGATAAGAAGGGGGGTTATTGGATATACAGTAAACATCATTTTGCCATGGGTTATAATTTGTTAGTGTTTTGATCTGGTTCATGTCACATATTAATTACCTCTCAGTGTGTTGTCTTCACTGGAAAGACACCGTTAACTTCCTGTCACCCTCCCGTCCCCCAGATGACAATGAGTGTATGAACAGCCAGATCTGTGGGGGGGCGGCGTGCCACAACACGCTGGGAAGTTTCCGCTGCCTGTGTCCCACCGGCTTCAACTACGAGCAGGGCGGCGGGGGCTGCATGGACGTCAACGAGTGCTCCACCACCCAGAACCCCTGCAAGTTTGGCTGCTCCAACACAGACGGGGGCTACCTGTGTGGATGCCCCGCCGGGTACTTCCGCGCAGGACAAGGGTATGTCCCTCAGTGTGATTGGCCCATGTTCTCAGAGCCTGCTTGAACCAGCTGGAACCAGCTGACGGGTCTGTGTTTGGTTCAGACACTGTGTCACAGGTCTGGGCTTCAGCAGTGGCAGCAGTGACATCAGTGAAGGACAGATGGGGGAGGACGACGAGAACTCTCTGTCTCCTGACACCTGCTACGAGTGTAAGATCAACGGCTATCCCAAGAACGGACGCAAGCGCCGCAGCACCAACTCCACGCACGAGGAATCTGTTGCAGAGCTGCAGGTAATCTGTCAACTACTGAGCTACCACTGGGAGGAGCTGCTTCACCCGGGACCGGTTTGAACTTCTTATTTTAGAGAACCAAAGAAAAGTAGACTTAAAAACCATGTTTTCTTTTTTAAATCAACACATTAACATCCCAGCTCCTATTTATATTTAATTCTTTAATTTAGCTCCTAGTTTCAAAACGTTCGACACTACAATTATTGCTCAGTATTGCAAAGGAGGCGGGGTCTAAAATGAGCTCAGAAAAATGGGTGAGGGTTGCGTCAGAAATGGTCCGTTACACATCAGTAGAACTACAGAGAAATATATGGAGAATATAAATACAAAGTGATACTACTACTATAATAAATGTAAAGAAAAGGAACCATCACCAGGTTGTAAAGGGTCAAAGGTCACTAGTAACAGATTTAAAAGATTAGATACAAAAATACTGAACAGTCACAGAGAAATACAGATTATTATGGGTTGTCAAGGGCCGTGTGTGACTGACATGAGGTAGGACAAACCAAGTCAGTCAGCGCTGAATAATTTATGATAAAAATGTGTGTGTGGTTGACAGTCACAGACCCCCGGTCTACCTCTCATAAACGTGACTGTCCTTTGTTCCTGCAGCAGTCTCAGCAGACCGTCAGCCTGGCCAGCATGGACATCGACGACACGCTGCAGCTCCACCTGAACATCAGCAGCCTCAGTAACCGCCGTCACATCCTGGAGTTCACCCCGGCCTTGACCACGCTCAACGACCACGTGCGCTACAGCATCGACTACGGCAACGAGGAGGGCTATTTCAAGATCAACCAGAGAGAAGGGGTCAGCTACCTGCATCTGAGCAAGAAAAAACACCTGCCACCGGGGGCGTACTCCCTGCAGATCAGCAGCGTGCCCCTGTACAAGAAGAAGGACCTGGCTGAGCTCGAGGACCAGCACGATAAAGACTACCTCACTGGACAGCTGGGGGACGTACTGAAGATGAGGGTGCAGATCGTCCTGCACTAACCATCAGCAGACTGAGACAGGCAGGCGTTGCCCACGGCAGCTAATCCAGGTCAGGTTCAAACTCGCGACAAACAAACAGCCAATGAGATCTGAGTCTGGATCAGTGGTTGGAGGCAACTTCTACTGTGACAACAGGGAGAGGGAGGCGGGGCTCACTACCAAAGAGACGGTGGGGGGGGGGGGGGGGGGGGGGGGGGGGGGGGGGGGGGGGCTGTGTCCAATGCTTGCCAAAAAAAAAACATTTCAACATATCATACGTTCAATATCTGCAGAGAAATGCCAGCGGACTGAGGTCAGACCAAGAACATACGGCCCCCGGGGGGGGACATTTTTTTTCCCACAAACTTTGCTTGGATGGCAGAAGACGAGAAGAATTTCCCAATAGTCAGAAAAATTCATTTCCTCCCTCAGGTTAAAGACGGGAGCAACGTGGGAGTCAGCACGTACAGTACTACTACAGTACTATAGTACTATTGGGTTCATTAGGTCTCCATGCAGATAGTATTATACTGGTGGTTTCTTAGAGTCAGACATGTGGGTGGAGTTTTACCTTGATTTTTTTTTTTAGTTTTAAGTAGGCCTGGTTTTACAGGGAGGTCACGCCCCCTGCTGTCCGTTTGCTCACTTTAGGACAGCGCTACTGCCACATTTGCCGTCTTGTCCCTGATCTTTGTCTTTTCTGAATGCTTTCTACTCTCCATAACGCCTCTCTCCTTCTCAGAAAAGTAGTACTATTATTTACAACAATAATGAAATGAATTCTTCTTATTTGTGACCAGTTCCCCCCCCCCTCCTTGTCTCTGTGTATATTTTCAAGGTAAAACTATGTCTACATGTCTGACTGCAGCAGTGGTTACTAAACGTTTCCTTCCTTGAACGAGGAAATAAAATTACAAATCCATGAACTGTTTGACTTTGGGGAAAAAAATAAGGAAAATATCGACGTTGAAATTTAGTTCCCCCATTTGCTTTGGACCCTGCAAAGGCTGCGTCCCCCACTTTGGGAACCACTGGCCTATAGGAAACTACATAGTACATGCTCATGTTAATTTAAGTGTGTAGAAAGTGGGCAGATGAACCCAGTGTGGACTGTTGAGATGTGACCGACGTCGGAGCTTGAACGACTGCTGCGTATTTAAACCCCGCTCCTCCATCTTTCCTACTGACCACAGAGATTGGTATTTCCTGGTGCTCGCAGCAGAAACCCGGACTTCTGAATGCACTGTACTACAATGTATACAAAACCCGGTAGTCCATAATGTAGGAGGGTAAGTCAAAAAGATCGAAGACAAACCGATAACACTCCTTTATTTATGACGATGACGAAGCTGTGGCTCCGCCTTCTCCATCAATGTCTGTGACAAACAAAACTGATCAATCATTCAGAATCAAACGGTTGATATTAGTTTCCAAGTGAACGTCATCAGTCCATCTGAGCCAGGAATATCACCAACAACCCATGAAGTTCAGATGAGTCAGACATTTTTTGGGTGGCTTAAAAAAAAACTACACAGTTTGGACCAAAACAAATGAATGTAGTTGAAAACAGTGACATCTGGAGCCCGAAGGTTGCGTCAAAATAAACATTTAGTTTTTGTACACTAAACTGCTAACACTTACAGCCACAACTCTCCTAGCGTGTTGCTAGGCAACAGAGAGTATTGCCTTCTTGGTCCGTCATCTGTAGGATTTTTTTTAAAATTACTTGCCAATCTCTCACTTTCACTCCGCATTTCTTTAATGACCACAGACTCGGCCATTTTGAGGTTGTATTTGTGCCACTACTTGAGTCAACCTTTTATGTATGTGTTTTGGTGATGAACAACCACAGCCACCTGCAGGAATCAGCCCTGCTGTCTGAGGACTTTTTGACTTACCCGGTACAGTCCCATCTCCCGGCCATGGTCAGGACTTCACATCTTTGTAACCAGTAACAGCTCGCTTGTTGCCTGTACGCTCTCTCCTCTATTCATGTACATTGTGTTTATACTGTAATAATCAAAGCCACTTTTAATCTATGAAGCATTTGTAAACTAGAGGAAGCCCCCGTGGTACGGGGGAGGGGGGGCTTTGTAATGGTGCTTATAATGACCAACTACTTCCTTGTAAACTTTGTATACATCCACACACACATATGCATACACACACCTGCACACATGGATGATGCCAGACCTGGGCCTTCATGATCCTGCACTGAGGCCGTCGTGGCCACACTTCCTCTCACAAGCCAAAGCAGTCAGTGCTGAATTACCAGGGACCAGGTTCACACCAGTGAGGGTTTCGCCGAAACAATAAAAACATATTTTTGGTCCACATGTATCCCATACTGTGCTTTGACACACACCAGACTTTGAAAGTCTTGTTATGGTTATGTAGTATTAATACATATGGCCTCTGAAGGGGACTCGCCCCTCACTTTGGGAACCACTACATTGAGGGATTTATGAATCCCCAATCAGCCTTCCTGTGTGGTGACATCACTCAATAGCACTGTTGCATCTTCTGTATTGTCGCCACCTACAGGCTGGAGTGTGTACATCACTGTTACTACTGTTAAAAAAGGTTTAAACTTAAGATGGAGAACAGTGTGTAACACGTCATTGTATCTGTTTTCAAACCTATACACCTGTAGGTGGTTCAGTGTTACTACATGAAAAGTTAAGAATTTCTTGAAAAAAAAAAATCTTTCAAGACTGGTCTGTTGGTGTGGGTGTTTGGTTCAAACCAGAAATTGGGTGTAATGACGTCTGAATGTTCACGACACGAGTGATGAAATCTGACCGTTTAGGTTCAATCGTTTTTTATACTGCCCTCTTGTGGCTATCCCATGCATCAACGTTTGAACATTTATGAATCCTTTAAGGCTCTGAGAATTTTAAAACCTCTGCTCTGAGTGAAAGTATTTGGAAATCAAATCATTTAGACTTCTACTCCAAGAAGTATAAAGTTAATGTTTATTAACAAATATCCATATATTTAACATTTACAGTAACAACATTCCTATTGTCCAGTTGAGCCAAATCCTCCAGCCCCACGCTCGGTCTCATCCAGAGTCTGAAGAAAAAAAATAAACAATTTAATTCAAATCAAGTTTTTAGGACAGTTTAGATGATTGTTGTTTTTTTTTTTACCTTTTCTTCCACTAGCTCAGGATAACAGATTTTCTCACAGACCAACTGAGCGACTCGATCTCCCTTTTTCACTGTGAGACAAACAAGAAAATTACTTTCATTCACACATATATAAAAATTGTATATTCTACTCATACATTTTGCAGTAAATATTAGTCCATAAACCTTTAATAAAATGGTATTTAAACAAACAGACGAAGAGTTTTGCTGCAGCAGAGACCAGGATATTTTTAACTGATAAAAACAACTCACCTTCAAACGTCTCCTTGCCGAAATTGAAAAGCACGACTCCCACGTTCCCTCGGTAGTCTTCGTCCACCACTCCGGCTGAGAAACACACGAGCAGACATTAGACCAGGGGTTCTCACAGTGAGGGTAGGAGTTTTAAAAGTGCACCGATTTTTACTTTTATTTTAGGAGAAAAATGTTCAGACTTTAACTTAATTCCCTCAGGATTTAAGCTAAAAAACAAAATATAGATTACCCAGCATGCACCAGGCCTGGGAAATATACTGTACAATGAACCTGGTGATTTTTTTAGTCACAGCTCCTAATAGGATTAGTAATGGTTATAATTACAACCACTGAGGTTATTTTTAGGACTGGTTTACAATCACAGTAAACATTTCCTGACAACCACAATCTTATCTTCACTGTCGTATCAGTTTTATACATTTAAATTATTATCCGCTTTTAATAAAAACCACAATAAAACACACGTTACCTAACCAGAAGGAAGTGACCTGAGAAGAAACAGGTCAAAGTCATCACTACATTCTGTTTACAGCACTGTGATCCCACAGCAGTGATAGATCTGTCTCCACCTGCAGAAACTCACGTTCTCCTCTAGGTGTCACTCTACTGAAAGTCTGTAATGTTATTGTGGACACTGATGGCTCTTTGTGACACAGTCCTCCACGTGTTCGTGCCATAAAAACTAGTTTTTACATTAGAACTGTTTAGGACGAACGCTGGTTTTGAACACGTGACTTTGACTTTAGAAACTCACCACCAACATCGATAAAGTGCTTTACTGCCAGCCCAGACCTCGGTGCTGTTGAGAAAAACAAACAGAAATCAGAGTCAGTATTCACCCTTGAATATTTCAGATTCGGCTCGTCACGTGACACACTTACCCACTCTGCCGTAGTAGCCGTGTGGGGCCGCTATCTGGATGTCAGTCTTCACGATGGCTTTGTCCATTGGACCAATGGAATAATCGTACGCACTGTGTAAGTGACAAAAACGACGTTAACACAGAAATGCGATTCTCAACAAAATAGGTTCGTGATATGAACACAAAAAATGTAGCAGCAGCACAAACATGATGGTAACTTAAAATATCTAAAATTTTGTTCTAGTAAATCTTGATAAACACAATGTACTGAACAGCTGTTTTGGTTAAAGACACTGGTAGTGACTTGAATCTTTGGTTCGGGCTCAGTGTGGATGAGGGCGGAGCAAGTAGCGAGGGGGAGAGTGGGTGACGGTTCTAGGCAAATGAGGAAAAAACGGTCAGAACAGAGAGATTAGAGATACTTTTAGTGAAAGGGCGCGTATTTTTACAAAAATTATATCGCGTGCAAAAAGTACGTGAACCCACGTTTGATAAACATAATACTTATAAAGTATGCCTATTATACTGTGCAGTACTCTGGTCAGTATTTATACAAGAATTCAAACTTGATGCGTGCATTTTTTTTATTCTAATGCTCGAGTTCACTGAAATATTTGCTCTTGATGAGTTCAGTATATAATTGATTATTTGATCTTTTTGGATTTAAAAAAAAATTTCTACAGGTTTCTTTCATTCTTATGCATTTACTTTCGATAAACTGCTGCGGCGGAAGCAGCTGTAAAAGGTTCTCACCGACATGAACATATTAAACTTAAACTTATCTTTATTTGTCATTTGTGACACAGCACAGCACAGCATGCACAATGAAATTTAACCTCTGCATTTAACCCATCACCATGTTCAGTGCATCTCAGTGGTAACCTGGCAGTTGGTGGATTCGAGCCTTCCGGACCGAAGAGCGCTTCCTTTACCACTAGGCCACCACTAACTGCTGGGATTTTTGTGATTCTGACATTCAGAATGCGATCCACCTGTACAGGTCGAATCCTGCAGCGTTACTGGATCCTCTGGTCGGTGTCGTCGCGTGCTCTGAAAGTTTGGCGAACCTGAGCACAGCTCGCTCCTCTGCAGCAGCAGCTTCTAGCTTTGCCTTCTTGGATGGAGACACGGAGGCGGCTGCATTTTGTAGAAGGGGCATGATGATAAAGTTAAACAATCGACCGACAACCGAGAGAAAAAAACCTGAATAAAGACAGAGTCACCCGGTGACACTGATCTGACTAGTTAGTGCTGCTAAATATCCGTCTCTGCTTGTTCTTTGGCGCTTTTCTGAATATAAACGACCATTATTCCCGCGAAATACATTGTACCAATAAGCGGCGTCTCCAAACTTACGTCATATTAAAGCGAGAGTGTTTATGATCTATGTCTGGGCATGTGTATATTCATGTAGTTCTGCAGAGAACGTATTTAGTTAATGAGACTTTAAAAAAAAGACGCTAAATAAATGACAATGTTACCACGTTCAGTAAGTCCTCACGAGAATTACAGACGTAGCAGCAACGACAAGTGACAAGTCGAATAAGCTTAAACAAGACAACGATAAAACAAATTACCAACTTCCATTCTGTTAACTTATAGACCGTTATTATTTTAAGACATGTTTGGTAATACATATATACTACAGGATATAACCGTAACCATTAAGTCTAAAAGCAGCTGGTGACGTTATGAGATGCAAGGCTACCGAAGCTAATGTTAACATTATCTGCTGTCCCATCTTCTGTATTGCTTGCCTTTGTTTCGACATGACAGCTGCATATGAAATCCCTTCCGAACGTGTACGCCAACGTGTCGAAACCCGAGCAGCATTGGTGACAAAGACCCGGTTCACACTCGTGTAGAGTGTGCAGCATGTAAACAACAACTACGACGGTCCCGGAAACATGACGTTAATACGATCGCCCTCTTGGTCCGGTCAATACCGGAAACAGCACTTGCATCACGTGAGTAACTTTACAGTGCTTACAATCTACACGATCCAAATCGCTTATACGCGAGAAAAAAAAATCATGTGCCATAAACTTTAATGTGATTCTTGTATTTTTTATGTATTGATATTAACTTAAATACATGGAAAACTGACCGAACTGTTCACTGCTTTGTGAGTTTATTTACCCGGACAAAGATGGCGGACATAACTTACCACGTACCACGTACCACGCTGAACGCGGCATCTGAAGCTGAAATCACGTCAATCAACGTTATACGTCTGATGCCCACGACTGCGTTACAAACAAGTAAGTGGTAAATTTAAGTAAGTATTTTAAGTACTTCCTAAAAGTATGCATTATTTTCCAAGCAGATGTAATTAACAGGTGTTTGACTTGTTAAACAGGGGATACGGAATATGCTAATATGAATGGAATAGCAATCATGTAGTATTCTACTGCTTTTACTGATAAACTGTATTGAATGTATTACTTGTTAGTTAAAAGTACTTTCTCCCAGACGTATACTGATTATTCAAGTAATAGATCAGGCAGCTGCAGAGGTGATGAATGGTTTCAGTGGATTTATATAACACCGCCTAGACTAAAGACATATTTGACCAGCAGAGGGAGACAAAACACCAAAGACTTTGAAAATAAAAAAGCAGATGATTGACTTTTTACATTTTTTTAATTAATATATATTTTTAGAAGACACCATTACATGTTCAATTACAAAGGAATACAATATATATTATAATCTCTTGTGGTTAAAAATCACTTTCTTTCAAATAGTGTGCTGGTGGTGAAGTTACAGTCTTTAAACAATATAATGTGTAAAAGTAAACAGCTTTATAACAGCAGTGTATTTAACAAACATAGTGGAATATTAAAAAAAAACCTCAACCCCTCATTACCATCAATCATTAGAAATAACACATAGTTGTTCATAAACCCTCAATCATGTTGACATTTTTGTTATGGAAATATCTACAGGTTAATTCAGAATTCTACTATTTACAAAAATTATTTTACAGTCACCACAGGTGCTTCTCTGCCTCAAAATACATTTTCCTACAATACTGTGATGATTTCTGACACTTGCAGTGCAGTACAGTACAACTCTGGGAAAAAAACCTTAAGTTGAGACATTAATATTCAGTAGACCTGCTGAAAACGTTTACTTTTAGACTTGTGTCCTGTCCATATTGTTCTTCTCTGATCATCTGAGAACATGAGCAGGTTCTCCTGTACGCTGCTACATTCTGTTTGACTTTACTGTTGTTGTTGAAGGCCGTTGAGTTGACGTTCTCCAGGGTACGGAAGATAAATCAGTTTTATGTTACTGCTATTCTGGCCCATCTGGTAACCTCGGAGAACACTGCCGTTAGACACTTAGGAGTAGAAGGTGAGCACGCTCTTGTGGTTCCCTCTGATGAGCAGAGTTGGTGGGAGGTTTCTGGTGAGAATGTCCAGCCACGCCATGTAGAGGTAGTCGGACACGGACTCTTTACGGGCGATGGGCATGCTCCTGTGTGGGGTGGAGACGTAGACGTAGAAAGATTTGATATGAGCCAGTGAAACACCAACAGTTCAAGGTTCGGTGAGTCGCTCGGTTCTACTTACACTATAACCAGGTTGGCGTATTTGGAGTGTTCCTGCAGCAGCTCATTGAGTCGTACTTGGAGCTGAGTCTTTAAAACAGGAGAAGAAGAAGCAGCGTTGTTGTTAACATGCAGATTAACACACACACACACACACAGATGAGGACATTTGTATGTAACATGTTCATGGAACTGTGCTGGGCAGCTGTGTGTGTGTTTGTGTGTGTGTGAACAGAACTGGTCCAGTGGGACACATTTATGGAACTGTTTCACAACATCAGTGAAAACAGGACGTGATGTAAGAACATGACAAATTAAAATCATTATCTTCAACAGCCACCGTTGATCTCCATAAGGGGGCGCTGCAGAATGTAGTTTAGGAACCATTGTTTTATATGATGTTGGTCGTTGGTCTGTTGGCTGTCAGTGGCTGTCAGTGGCTGTCTGTTGTGTTGAGGTGTCAGTGCCTGTCACGGGGGGCGGGGGGCGGGAGAGAGGGAGGAGGATGAGAGGACGGGGGAAGGGGACCTGTATTTGAAAATCCGTCCTCTGTGTTTTTACCTTCTCCTCAAAGCTGATCAGTTCTTCATCGGTGATTTTCCAGGGACTGTCCTTCTGCATGGCCTCGGCCTCAGCCATGTCCTTGGATCCTTCGTGTAGACGGAAAGGCTCGATCATGTCGTCCAGCTGCTTCAGGCTGGGAGGAGGGGTGTGGGGGGGGGGTTAAAGTGGTCTCTATCAGAAGGCTCTGATGTTCAGATAATTCCAGAGTAGGAGCGCTCACCTGTCGGGGCGGGGTTTGACGTGGATGTCGTCGATTACTACCACGTCGGTACAGTTTATTCTGAACTTCTGCAACAAAGACTCCATCCTGGAAGACACATGGTCCCACAGTCAATACAGCTGGTGTCAAACAGCCTCTGGTCCGGCTGAGCGTTTTATTAAACCACCGTCTCTGAAGCTGTAATTACCATGGAAACACTGTGTGTGTGTGTGTGTGTCTATGTGTGTGAACTCACTCCTGTTTGTCCAGGTCACTGCGCTCAGGCTGCCCTGCAATGAAGATCCGCAGTTTACAGTCTTTCCACTTCTTCCTGGTGCTGAGGATGTAGGGCAACAGCAGAGTCAGACCTGGGGGGGAGAGGAGAGGAGGGGAGGGGAGGGAGGGAGGGAGGGAGGGAGAAGGGGGGGAGACAGGATAGGGGGAAGAGAAATTAAGTTTGTGAAATGTATCAGATTTTTAAAATGTTTTAAATCAATTTTAATGACTGTGCAGAATGACAGTCTCCCCCATGTCCCCTCCCTCCCCCACCCATCTGTCCCTCCAAGTTTGGTTTCTCTAACACCAGTTAATATAGTTTTGCCAAATGACCTTTGCGATAAAAATAGTTTTGGCATAAAGTGTAGCTGTTATTAAAGTATTAAAGTCACTAGATGGCAGCATTGGAGCTCATTTATTCATGTTTTAATAATCAGGGGATTGTTTGGAGAATTCTGGTGCCAGCAGCTCATACAGTGGTTTGTACAGATAAATAAATACATATATTTATTAAATGATATATAAATAATATCGGAATTGGAAATTAAGTGTCTGGACAATATTGGGAAAAAGTTAATATTGGACAACCCTAATATTTACCATTTAATAAACTTGATCAAAGTATTTTGAGCTCCTGAAGATATTCACCTTCAGCCCAGTGTGTGGGTGTCTGTTGGGGGATGAGGGAGCGGGGGGGGAGGGGGAGTGGAGTTGTAAGAGATGACTGCCACTCCAGTCTACACCTACCTCCGTCGTCGAACAGCCACCACACATCGATGGTGCCTTTAGGCTGTTTCTTCTTGAAGTGAGCGCTGGCCTCCAAAAGCTGCTCGTTCCTCTTAACGACCTGCGGGGGCGGGGGGGCACACACTGACACTGGCAGAGAGAACACAGAGAAACTCATGAAAAGTCCACTCAGACGGGGGCGTTTGTGCAAACCCAACACTCTGCACTTTCATCCCCGTCAGCCGGAACCGATGTCTCTGAGCGCCAGTGCTCCAGTGCG